TAAACAGACACAGGTTCCTTCAACAGAAATGTTGGATATGTATATATAAAGAAGAATGCCACCAGCACCTCAGAACTCCAGGCCCTTCCTACCTTCCTGCTCTGCCAGCCTCATGATGCAGCTCTTAGCCTCATGATCACAAGGTCATGCAACGCTGCAGCTCCAACATTGCATTCAAATTCCAGCCAGAATCAAAGGGGGGAAAGCAAAATATTTTCTCCTAGAAAAGTTTTATTCCAGACGAAAAGCACTCTGTACTCAACTCATTCATTGGAAACATCAGTTATGGACACCCCAGCTGCAAAGAAGTTGAGGAAGCAATCCTCTCAGCTGTGGAGCCAGGTAAAATGCAGGACACCCAGTTAAATTGCCCATGCAATATTTGGAACATACTTATACCAAAAAATTATTCAATGCCTACTTCAGTTCAAATTTATCTTGGAGTTTTGCGTTTTTATTTTCTAAATCTGGCAATCCTAATAATAAAGAAAAATAAATATTGGGTAATTAACAAGCAGTATCTACTATGTTGTTCTAAAATAGTTTGAAAACTACTATACCATAATATCAAACGACAGTATTTATTAAACACTAACTACTTTTCTTTCAAATCGACCAAAAGCCTTAAATATGAGATTGTTGGGGGCCTGAAGCCCCACACCCCTTCTTGTGAGACAGCTCCTATGTGACAATCTGCTCAGATGGCCGTGCTTTACATGATAACTGCCTCGAAATCTGCTTATGCCAGAAACTGATTGCTCCTGGCTATGCAAGTTCATTTGCAAGTGACCTTTTCTCCTTCTCCAGAAACTGTTTAACCATAAACATTCTGGGTGGCAACCTTTACTTTGAATGTCCTGTCTTTGTCTCTCCTCAAGATATTATCATATCTTTACATTCCAGACCCTTTGCAGCATGCCTGCTTTTTCCTATATAAGATGTAACCTAAGAATCAATAAACGAGACTTGATCAGAATACTGTCTTGTCTTCATTTCTCGTGTCTCTTGTCCCATCCAATTCCCACTCCCCCCTCCAGGGTCCTCGTTGAATATCCTGCGGTTCGGGACATAAGATAATAAACATTATCACCTTGAATGCAAGAAAAAAAGGAAAGAAAAATACGAAGCTATATATTAAAATATTTTCCCTTCTGTCTGTCATGAAACATTAGTTCTTTGAGCCACTCCCGTTTCGACCAGCAGGCTCAGCTCCAGTCCTGCTAGAAAGTCTAACAACCTGAGTCAATGCTGACCATGTTCTTATGCCAGGCCTGGCACAGCTCCAAGTGCTTTATGTGCATTTATTTATTTAGTCCGAACAACAACCCATTAGGAAGGGATGAAGGAACCAGGGCACAGGGAGGTTAGGTAACTTGCCCAAGGACACACAGTCAGGAAGGGCAGAATCAAGGTTTGAACCAGGTGACTGTGACAATCCATCTTCTCTTCTGCTCCGTGGACAGCCTGCTCACTGGTCCCCTTCCAGCGAGAACTCTCTCTCTCTCTCATACTATACCCAAGACTACTATTTGTGATGACAACTTTTCTTTCACACTTGGGGGTACTGAAAGGGAAACATCTATTTCCTGACAGAAATACTGCCAAGTGGCAAGGGTGAAATGGGAGGCAAAGGTGAGATTCTGGAAAGCTTTTTAAATTACATTAAGGATTTAGAATTTCATTTCCCAAAATGGAAAATGTACTCATCTATCAGCTGATGTCACTGGATACTTGAACCAACAATAAAAATGCTGCAGCACAAAGTGAGAACATCATATGCCCTGTCCACTTGTTTCTCAATCCCCGCTTCTGTGCCCCTCAACTCCCAACACCAGCCTTTTGGCCCCAGGCTCAGGGATCTCTGCTGACAGAATTATCTGCCAGAGCCCAATAATCTTGACGCAGAAAACCATTTGTTTCCAGAGAGTAGGACCTTATAACTGTAAACACTGGCTGTGAAAACCAAGCCCAGTGGGAAATGTCTAGCATTCTGTGAGTCCCAGTAGTTTATCATCACTGTTTCAACACACCAGCCCAGCTGCAGCAGAGCTCACTCTCGTCACTGAGAATTTTGTGGCACTGGGCAAGCTCCACGTACAGTCGCAGGCCACATTTTTAGAGCCTGGTGGGCTCAATCATAACGGAAAGCCAGAGTGTTCAGCTAAATACAGCAACTTCTCCAGATGACATCGGAGAAGGGGGAGGGGCGCTGTCTCTGAAGAGAGGCCCCTCGGGAGGGTGACAATCAGTGTTCCTGTTTGGTTCTGCACTGACCTGCCGTGTGGCCTTGAGAAGCTTCTCACGTCTCAGGACCTCAGTTTCTGCTCTCAGGACTGAGTGGCCCTAACGGATCTCAAGACTCTTCCCAACCTGAAGATGCCCAAGTCACCTGGGGATGCGAGTGGCGTCCATGTCTGCTGAGCACAGCTGTCCACATCCATCATCGCGAGATCTCGATCAGGACTTGACGAAGCTCAGGCAGGAATTATGGAAATTTGCTTCAAGTAAGAACTCCTCACCGAAAATTTAAATGAGCCACATGAGCAATTCCCTATAACCTTCAGCATCATCAGCACTTCACACCTTCAGTGTCAGAGGTTTTGGACAAAGGACTGCTTCTCCATGCTGGCTGCAGAGAAACACACGGGAGGAGGAGCCCCCCAAGGAGCCTCACCCCACAGCCAGGACAGCCAGCCTCTGGGGTGACTCATACACAACATGCTTCCTTTTTCTAAAAATCCCACCTAAGTCTGGGTTTCCAGATATGCCTGGAACTCACTCTAGGCCTCTGTAGTCATGAACTGGTCTCTCTGCAGGACTAAGTCATGTTGAGACTGAACGGTCCCCTTATAATCTGGGGCTAGTGGAGACCCAGACCTCCCCCACAGGGCCATGGAGACCCAGCACAAGAAGCGTCTTTTTGAATTCTTCTTCAACAATGGGAATCAGTCCCCTGTGTGGGGTGTCTGGGGACGTGTATCTCCATTTAATGGAAGCCACTGTCCGTTTTCAGCTTCCTTTAGTCATCCAAGTCACCTAAGGATTGGTGAGAACACCGTAGATTAGACAGTTTAAGGGTAAGCAACACTCCCCTCTCAACGTTCAGGTGACACCATCATGGGGTCTCCACAGAAGCAGGCATGTCCGGGTCACAAATGTGGGGTAGCCACTGTGCACTGGGCATGGCAATTTATAGGCACCACTCCACATCTCACAGGGCATAAACGTGTGGCAGTCAAGATGTGGTGGGAACCTAAAAAGGAAATTAAGGAACCCTGATCATGAAGGAGTTTGCTTGGAACACACAACTGAGCTGACATGGTGATCTTGCCGACAATGTCAGCTAGTGGGGACCAGTCCTCCCGAGCATGGCCCGATGCCAGCATGGCATGTCCAGCAAGACAGGGCAGATCTCCTCTCCTCCCACAGGCCCTTGCTCTCTGTCGAGGGCCACGACATGTTCCTTATCCTGAGCATGCTAGGAACAGGACCAGTTGTACATCCTCAGTGGCCTCAGGCCCCAACTGGGACGCGACTGCTCGCCATGCCCCTTCTGGATGCCTGCGGGCAAGCCCTTCTGCAGGCTGAGTGTCTCGGCAGGTGGCACCACCATTTGCAGTGCAACCCAGAGGGAAGCCAAGGGCAACTCCCCTCTTGCCCATCCAGTCCCTCCAGTAGTCTTGCTAACTCTACCTTCCACACAGGTCCTAAATCAGCCGTGTTTCACCCCTTCATGTCATCCTGTATCTCAACACCCTCCTTCAGACCATCTCTTATGGCCACAGTGACTCCAGTCCCATCACGGCCTCCATGCCCAGCCCGGCCCATCTCCTATCACCTCTGCCCCCCCCCCCCCCCCCCCCCCCCCCCCCCCCCCCCCCCCCCCCCC